TGTCGCCCGGTGGTGAGCGTGCACGTCACAGGAGCACCGTCCGACGGTGCGATCATCATCCGCAGTCGGCACCATTCGATGGCGCAGTGATCCGTGACGGGGCGCTGTTTGATAGTGTCGTGATCTGCCACACGGGGATGATGTCATGATCTGTCGCAGGGAGCACCGGATAATAGTGCGATGATCTGTCGCAGGGAGCACCGCTTCGTTGTGTCATGATCTGTCGCAGGGAGCACCGGATAATAGTGCAATGATCTGTCGCAGGGAGCACCGCTTAGTAGTGTCATGACCTGTCGCAGGGAGCACCGGATAATAGTGCGATGATCTGTCCCAGGGAGCACCGTTAAGTAGTGAGGTGAGCGTTGCGGGGCCATGTAATATGTAATACCAGCCATGTAATAGTGCGATGATTTGTCGCAGGGGCGCCGCTCGAGGGTGTGACGTGCCGTTATAATGAGCACTGTTCGGTGGTGGGAGCCACCGTCACAGCGGGCACTGCTCGACGGTGTGATGATCTGTGGCGGACGGTATGATGATCTCACATAATCACACGGAAACCATGTGATGATGTGATGATCCGTAACGGCGGGCGTCGCTTGGTGACGCGAAGATCGCGTCTCAGGGTAAGCGTGTGGTGGGCGACGTTTCGCCACGCCGTGCGTGCTCCGCGTCCAGCCGACGGAGCCCGACTGAGCAGAGCGCGCTAAACGCCGACAGTGGCTGTTGTTGGCAGCATCCCATTGAGACGCCAGCCCGCATATGTCCCCAGTTCAGGTCCGTTACCCCAGAGCGAGCTGGACGCAGGACTGACGCGCAGGACGAGCAGACGTGAAGACGACGGCATCACCGTCGCGACACCGCCGAGTCGACGCTCCTCATGTGGGGGGTCCTCAGGCTTCGCTTCGCCCGGCTCCCTGGCGTTGGATTGGTGATGTGAGCAGCTGGTACGCAGATGCGTAAAGCCGTCCCACCTCTTCGGTGACGATGTCCGCAAGCGCTCGACAGGTGGCGTCTGGGATACGGATGTCACCTCGCGGAACGCGCCAGCCCGTATGCGCGTGGCGCAGTCCAGTAGACTTATACGTGTCTCCACGGACTCCCGAATGTCTGTCTATGATCAAGGCTAGCGAGGGTGTCACCCGACGCAGTGACATGGAGACAGTGTGAATGGTAATGTTCTGAATCAGTGCAGGATCTCATTGCCGAAGCGGGTGGGTTGAGTGTTTATCGATGTCACAAACGATGCTTGCCGCTATGTTCGCGAAAGAACCTAGTTTGCATCACGGTCTTAATTATTGTCAGCAATCAGCGTCGGATTCAGTCAGGACATATCGGCCCTAGTCCCCAGCAAAGTTGGGGTCGGCTGATGTCACCGGCTGTTAGTGAGGATGCTGTTCTGCTTTGCGACCAACGTCCGATGCTCTACGACATTGGCTGCGATTCAACGATGCGATGGTTGGACGTGACTGGTGGGTTTTCCTGTACCGTGCCTGGTACGACATTGGTGGAACTTCGTGCTTTTATTAGCGCGTCTTTCTGATGGTCCTGACACGCGTCTGGAACTACCGCTAAAATGTCTCGGAGCTGACTTGCGTGTGGAAAAAGGGGAACCGCGCATTTGGAAACGGTCCTGTGTCTCTGCCGGCAGTTGCTTGTGTCCGCTCATGGCGGCACTTGGTGTGTCTGCTACTGGGACTGGCGCATGTCTGGCAATCATACTGACTCGCGGTCGGTGCCGACGTTGGTATAGGTTTGTTGTCAGTGTCACGATGTGCGGGCACTGATGCGGAGATGTGTTCGTTTCTGTGAAGTAGCATGTTTTGTGTACTTGTGCTGTCAATAATTTGAATATTTACTTTGTTCTGGCAAAACGCGTGGTGTTTTGCCTTTATGTTAGCCGTTGAAGATGTGGTAACTGCGTTCACGGGTCCGTTGGGACCTATTCCCACACAATTGTGGTAAAGTGTTATTTGAAGCGTTCCTGTAGCAAAAAAGTAATTGTTATGCTTTCGTCGTTAAAAAAGCTGGTTTTTACTCACGGAGTGTTCCATGGAAAGTCATTTTGAACAAATAATGGTCACAGCGACCCGTTTATCAGACCAAAAATTTGACACTCGGCAATTCGACCATATCGAACGTCTGCGTAGCGGCCTCTCATCTTTCTCACCCAGTATCAGAACTGCGCAAGAAATTCCCGTCGGGGCTACGCCAGAGATTTTATTGCGTTTCTTTCTTAGTTCACGTATGCTTGCGCCCGAACACGACACGCTCACAACCTGCTTACGGGTCTCCACTATGGACAGAGCTCGAACCGCGTGCGTATCTTTATGTTGCCTCTTGAGCCACTATTCGTGTGTGTCACGTGTTTGCGAACGGAAGGAAATAAGTCCACGGTAATGTTGTTCGACGCACCAAAACTGCTTTGACATTTCCTTTCTCTTGTGGCAGTGAGAATAACCCAAATTCAGATCTGCTACGTTGCGTTTATGTTTTTCGTACAATGGCCGTTGATCTAATACATGTGTTGTACTGCACGGCCTTTACAACATTCCAGCCTTCCAATGACGTCGACCGATTTGTCCCTTTACTTTTTCATGACATCGCAAAAAGATCAACTTATGCGCTCAAAGAAATGCGGTATCACGTATCAAAATACCAGTATTTACAGCTAATTTGCAAAGTTTGGCGACATCTGGCAACATCTGCCCAGACGCGCGAGCGATATAAACCGGCTGCATCCGGCTTTAACTGGTCGATTCTTGCCACCAAGGTTTGTCTCCCGCTTGCCAGTAAGCCGACTAGTTGCCGACTGATAAGCTGGTAGCATGTGGGGGCGCTAGCTGAGGAGGATGAGAAGCTGTTATAAGGAATGCCTGGACACAGATTCCAATTGCGGATTTGGGGTACCTTAATCCACACTGGGCGACGATTTCGCATTTCTAGAAACACTAAATTTATTACACAATTTGCGTTTTCTGTTATTCATGATTCGCAAACTATCAGGCAATACTAGAGCACGCACATGTAAACTTAACCGTGTCGGAAATCCGTCAGCGCTAGCGGGGACGAGCCTCCAAATCGGTGGAAAAAAACGAGAAGGAAATCAACGGTAGGTTATCTTAGGAAGGTCATAGCTTAGACGATTACTGAAAGTCATTTTCAAGGAATTGCAATTTTGCAGAGTCACGTCAGTGCGGTCACGTGATACGGCGGCCCGCAGCCGCCCGGACAGAGGTTGGCCGGGGGTGATCTGACGAGTGACGCGGTGACGGTCCCCCTTCGATCGCGGCGGAGAGACGGCCGGCCGGCGGGGATGATTTGCGCCAGGCTCTGCACAACGAGCGTCTCGAGGAGGCGGAGCAGATCTCCATGAGTGGCTGGTCAGAGGACGGCCTCATTCACGGCACAGCCAAGGACACCCTTCACGGCACACCGCTATGTCCCAACGTCTGACGAAGGTCACAGATTCACTGCTCTCCAGCACGCCCCTCGGTCCTGTTTGAAGTCGAAATGGCAGGGTGAGTGACACTCCCCTGGCGTGCACTGGCTTCTCTCACTCCTCCCATACAAAACAAAGTCACACGAGGATAGGCGACGGGATTTGGCAGGGCGAGGAGCCCCGGCTCGAGTCCGACCAGTGCAACGACGCGCAGGTAACTGCAACCCTTTGGCTGAACACGCTGGATGTGCGTGAATGCCATAGGCTCACCACAACAAAAATGCATTCTTATTTATCTAAGTCCCCTTCAACGGCCTATAGAGTAGTTCAGCAGCTAACACGGGGTATTTGCGCTTTACTAAGTGCCAATCATGGTACCAAGGTGTTTATTGTCACTCGTTAAGGTACTCATTCTCATGTCTGTTTTGACATTTGCGATACACCAAATTGGCTAAGCAAAATAAGGTGAGGAAGACGGTCCTTCTAACGGAAAACCCGGGATGCTGTTTTCGGTCCACGGAGTCAGAAATTGATGCTTCCAAAAACCCAAAACTCAAACGTCCATTTCAAAAGCGGAGTGTGGTCTCGTAATGTGATCGTTTATGAACTCAGAAAAATCAGTCGGCACAAATTTAAGCTTGGGTACCGGCATCGGATGCAAAAGACACCAGATACGTGCATGTTTTGTCACAACGTAGAGATCGTTGTTAGAGATTTATTATTAGTCAGTTTTATCTATATATATATATATATATATATATATATATATATATACATATATATATATATATATATATATATAATATATATTATATAATATACTGACTAATAATAAACTGATAAAACGGACTAATGATAATATCTAACAACGATCTCTACGTTGTGACAAAACATGCACGTATCTGGTGTCTTTAGCATCCGATACTGGTGCCAAGGCTTAAATTTGTGCCGACTGATTTTTCCTGAGTTCATAACCGATCACATTACGAGACCACACTCCGCTTTTGAAATGGACGTTTAAGTTTTGGGTTTTTGGAAGCATCGATTTCTGACTCCGTGGACCGAAAACAGCATCCCGGGTTTTCCGTTAGAAGGACCGTCTTCCTCACCTTAGTTTGCTTAGCCAATTTGGTGTATCGCAAATGTCAAAACAGACATGAGAATGAGTACCTTAACGAGTGACAATAAACACCTTGGTACCATGATTGGCACTTAGTAAAGCGCAAATACCCCGCGTTAGCTGCAGAACTTCTCTATAGGCCGTTGAAGGGGACTTAGATGAATAAGAATACATTTGTGTTGTGGCGATCCTAAGGCATTCACGCACAACCCAGCGTGTTCAGCCAAAGGGTTGCAGTTACCTGCGCGTCGTTGCACTGGTCGGACTCGAGCCGGGGCTCCTCGCCCTGCCAAATCCCGTCGCCTATCCTCGTGTGACTTTGTTTTGTATGGGAGGAGTGAGAGAAGCCAGTGCACGCCAGGGGTGTATCACTCACCCCGCCATTTCGACTTCAAACAGGACCGAGGGGCGTGCTAGAGAGCAGTGAATCTGTGACCTTCGTCAGACGTTGGGACATAGCGGTGTGCCGTGAAGGGTGTCCTTGGCTGTGCCGTGAATGAGGCCGTCCTCCGACCAGCGGCTCATGGAGATCTGCTCCGCCTCCTCGAGACGCTCGTTGTGCAGAGCCTGGCGCAAATCATCCCCGCCGGCCGGCCGTCTCTCCGCCGCGATCGAGGGGGACCGTCACCGCGTCGCTCGTCAGATCACCCCCGGCCAGCCTCTGTCCGGGCGGCTGCGGGCCGCCGTGTCACGTGACCGCACTGACGTGACTCTGTAAAATTGCAATTCCTTGAAAATGACTTTCAGAAATCGTCGAAGCTATGACCTTCCTAAGATAACCTACCGTTGATTTCCTTCTCGTTTTTTTCCACCGATTTGGAGGCTCGTCCCCGCTAGCGCTGACGGATTTCCGACACGGTTAAGTTTACATGTGCGTGCTCTAGTATTGCTTGATAGTTTGCGAATCATGAATAACAGAAAAACGCAAAGTGTGTAATAAATTTAGTGTTTCTAGAAATGCGAAATCGTCGCCCAGTTTGGATTAAGGTACCCCAAATCCGCACTTGGAATCTGTGTCCAGGCATTCCTTATAACAGCTTCTCATCCTCCTCAGCTAGCGCCCCCACATGCTGCCAGCTTATCAGTCGGCAACTAGTCGGCTTACTGGCAAGCGGAAGACAAACCTTGGTGGCAAGAATCGACCAGTTAAAGCCGGATGCAGCCGGTTTATATCGCTCGCGCGTCTGGGCAGATGTTGCCAGATGTCCCCAAACTTTGCAAATTAGCTGTAAATACTGGTATTTTGATGCGTGATACCGCATTTCTTTGAGCGCATAAGTTGATCTTTTTGCGATGTCATGAAAAAGTAAAGGGACAAATCGGTCGACGTCATTGGAAGGCTGGAATGTTGTAAAGGCCGTGCTGTACAGCACATGTATTAGATCAACGGCCATTGTACGAAAAACATAAACGCAACGTAGCAGATCTGAATTTGGGTTATTCTCACTGCCACAAGAGAAAGGAAATGTCAAAGCAGTTTTGGTGCGTCGAACAACATTACCGTGGACTTATTTCCTTCCGTTCGCAAACACGTGACACACACGAATAGTGGCTCAAGAGGCAACATAAAGATACGCACGCGGTTCGAGCTCCGTCCATAGTGAAGACCCGTAAGCAGGTTGTGAGCGTGTCGTGTTCGGGCGCAAGCATACGTGAACTAAGAAAGAAACGCAATAAAATTTCTGGCGTAGCCCCGACGGGAATTTCTTGCGCAGTTCTGATACTGGGTGAGAAAGATGAGAGGCCGCTACGCAGACGTTCGATATGGTCGAATTGCCGAGTGTCAAATTTTTGGTCTGATAAACGGGTCGCTGTGACCATTATTTGTTCAAAATGACTTTCCATGGAACACTCCGTGAGTAAAAACCAGCTTTTTTAACGACGAAAGCATAACAATTACTTTTTGCTACAGGAACGCTTCAAATAACACTTTACCACAATTTGTGTGGGAATAGGTCCCAACGGACCCGTGAACGCAGTTACCACATCTTCAACGGCTAACATAAAGGCAAAAACACCACGCGTTTGCCAGAACAAAGTAAATATTCAAATTATTGACAGCACAAGTACACAAAACATGCTACTTCCAGGAAACGAACACATCTCCGCATCAGTGCCCGCACATCGTGACACTGACAACAAACCTATACCAACGTCGGCACCGGACCGCGAGTCAGTATGATTGCCAGACATGCGCCAGTCCCAGTAGCAGACACACAAATGCGCCATGAGCGGAAACAAGCAACTGCCGGCAGCAGACACAGGACCGTTTCAAATGCGCGGTTCCCTTTTCCACACGCAAGTCAGCTCCGAGAACATTTTAGCGGTAGTTCCAGACGCGTGTCAGGACCAATCAGAAAGACGCGCTAATAAAAGCACGAAGTTCCACCAATGTCGTACCAGGCACGGTACAGGAAAACCCACCAGTCACGTCCAAACCATCGCATCGTTGAATCGCAGCCAATGTCGTAAGGAGCATCGTGACGTTGGTTCGCAAAGCAGAACAGCATCCTCACTAACAGCCGGTGACATCAGCCGACCCAACTTTGCTGGGACTAGGGCCGATATGTCCTGACTGAATCCGACGCTGATGCTGACAATAATTAAGACCGTGAATGCAAACTAGGTTCTTTCGCGAACATAGCGGCAAGCATCGTTGTGACATCGATAAACACTCAACACCCCCGCTTCGGCATGAGATCCTGCACTGATTCAGAACATTACCATTCCACAACTGTCTCCATGTCACTGCGTCGGGTGGACACCCTCGCTAGCCTTGATCATAGACAGACATTCGTGGAGTCCGTGGAGACACGTATAACGTCTACTGGAACTGCGCCACGCGCATACGGGGCTGGCGCGTTCCGCGAGGTGACATCCGTATCCCAGACGCCACCTGTCGAGCGCTTGCGGACATCGTCACCGAAGAGGTGGGACGGCTTTACGCATCTGCGTACCGGCTGCTCACATCACCAATCCAACGCCAGGGAGCCGGGCGAAGTGAAGCCTGAGGACCCCCCACATGAGGAGCGTCGACTCGGCGGTGTCGCGACGGTGATGCCGTCGTCTTCACGTCTGCTCATCCTGTGTGTCCAGTCCTGCGTCCAGCTCGCTCTGGGGTAACGGACCTGAACTGGGGACATATACGGGCTGGCGTCTCAATGGGATGCTGCCAAACAACAGCCACTGTCGGCGTTTAGCGCGCTCTGCTCAGTCGGGCTCCGTCGGCCTGGACGCGGAGCACGCACGGCGTGGCGAAACGTCGCCCACCACACGCTTACCCCTGAGACGCGATCTTCGCGTCACAAAGCGACGCCCGCCGTTACGGATCATCACATCATCACATGGTTTCCGTGTGATTATGTGAGATCATCATACCGTCCGCCACAGATCATCACACCGTCAAGCAGTGCCCGCTGTGGGCGGTGGCTCCCACCACCGAACAGTGCTCATTATAACGGCACATCACACTCTCGAGCGGTGCCCCTGCGACAAATCATCGCACTATTACATGGCTGGTATTACATATTACATGGCCCCGCAACGCTCACCTCACTACTTAACGGTGCTCCCTGGGACAGATCATCGCACTATTATCCGGTGCTCCCTGCGACAGATCATGACACTACTAAGCGGTGCTCCCTGCGACAGATCATCGCACTATTATCCGGTGCTCCCTGCGACAGATCATGACACTACTAAGCGGTGCTCCCTGCGACAGATCATCGCACTATTACACGGTGCCCCTGCGACAGCTCATGACATCATCCCCGTGTGGGAGATCACGACACCATCAAACAGCGCCCCGTCACGGATCACTGCGCCATCGAATAGTGCCGACAGCGGATGATGACCGCACCGTCGGACGGTGCTCCTGTGACGGGCACGCTCACCACCGGGCGACATCAGCCTCTCGGCGGCTCGTGCTCCCCGCGCGGCGTCGGCGCTGGCAGCCCGTCACATGTCCACGGTCTCGTCGGTGCGGTGAGAGACGGCTGAGGCCGCGGCGCGAGCAGCTGGTGGCCATCGGGCGGCTGGAGGCCGCGCCGCTGCGTGCTGCGGTCCAGCCGCTTCAGCGGCACGTGTGCGCCGTTAGCGCCGCCAGCGAGGGTGACGTCATCGGCGCCGTTCCAGCCGGCATCGCGCCGCCGCAGCAGGCGCGAGCAGAAGAGCCGCAAGAAGAGGCGGCGGAATTTCTGGCCAAAGGTGCAGTAGATGATGAAGTTGGAAGAGGAGTTGATGTTGATGAGGAGGTTGCTGAAGTCAGCGATTCTTTCCATTCCGTCGTCGTTTACGATCTGCATGCCGCTATTGTTGAGCAGCTCGATGATGTTGATGACGAAAGAGAGGCTATTGCAGACTATGAAGAGGAGCACGATGGCGAACAGCATGGTCGCCAGACCGATCTCCTTCTCCTGGCGCCGGCTCAGCAGCTGGCGCATCTTATTTGCGATGCGCACGTTCTTGTAAATAAGGCTGTTGAGCACCACCAGTGTGCCGAAAGGAATGCAGTACATCACCACCAGGTACATCCACATGATGTACACCTCGATGTACACCAGCTCGCTGCGCAGGTCCGTGGGACACGCGACAAACCCGACCACCGTCATGTTTTCTCTCAGATCCAGGATCGGCCGTGCTTCCGTCTCGAAGAACTTGGGCACGTTGTAGAGCACGACGCATACACTGATGACGATCATGTAGAGCCGGGCGCGGCCGTACGTGCAGATGTAGCGCGCCTTCAGCGAGTGGCACACGGCCACGTAGCGCTCGATGGTGACGGTGACGGTGACGTACGTGCTGCCCGTGTGCGCGATGGCAGCCAGCGGGTACAGCCAGGGAGTCATGTGTGGGATGAGGCGGCCGCTGAGCGCGCGTAGTCGCGGCGAGTACTGACTCAGCGCCGGCACGCCCCACACGAAGATGGAGCAGACAAGCAGCAGGATGTCGAAACGTTGCCAGCCCGATCAGGCAGCAGTTGATGGAGGCGCGCATCTGCTTGCGCGACAGGATGTAGATGGAAACGGTGTTGCAGACGATGCCGAGCAGGTTCACCACGTTCATCACCACGCCCTGCAGCACGAAGAGATACAGGCTCGGTGGCATGGAGCACGGCAGCACCTGACCGCACTTCTCGCAGAGCCGGCGCGTGTCATTCCATACGTCTCCCATGACACTCAGCATCGCTTCTTCCTCCATGATGGCCATGCCGACCACGACCGCTGCTTGGCCAGGGCACTCGCACCGCGGAACTGTTTCTAGGTGGAGTAGTATCGAAGACACCCAACGCACATCGCGACGAATCAGGAGCGTCACGAGGTCCCCTCGGGGGAGCGGCTCCGGAGGAGCAGTGCCTTCTCTCGGTGAAACCGTTCCTGCTTTCTTTCTCGGTAAGTGGCTCGCTGGGGGTGTCTCTTCTCGCGAGGGACGGAGGATGTCACAGAGGACGTCCTTTTGTTGCCGAGGACGACCTCCTCCCGGTGCGGTGTCTCCCGCAATGTGGATCCTCCGCGCTCGCCCGGGCTGTCCTCAGGCCATCAGGGGCGACGAAATGGTATGCCGAAGACTGCGCGCCGACTGCGTGACGTCTGCGCGACGTCCAGGACCGCCTCACGGCGCTGGCGACGTGGCAACTTCCGCCACTACGGCACCTGAGGCAGAACGCACTGTTTTCAGCCGCAGCGAAACAATGACCCAGCCCACACTGTACAGATGGCGAACGGGATGTCGGTGGGAGGGCGTCCCGGCGGAGAGAGAGCCGGAGCACGTGTGTAACACAACACCTGCAGACACGGTTCGTTGTCACATTTCAGCTGAAACACCTCCTGTCAGTTCGCTTGGAGCAATCGTGACAATACTGAACAGCCAGTGACAGTGTGGGACGCAATTTTCATGACGTGTGCTGAGACGTACTTTATTTATATTGCAGACATTTAGATGTTTTATATTTTTTATAAAAAATATATATTCATTTTTATATATTTTATTTCATTTTTTGTATGTCATCTGGTTTACATTTTTGGTATTGTCGTTGTCCATTTTCTGAATAACTGGCACGTCTAAGCATGGCTAAACGCTGATATGAAGTAAATGTGCGAGCAGAAAAAAAACTATTGTACTGGTCGCTTGAGAGCCGTTTGATTATCGACAGGATCGCTTCGACTTCGTCTTAGACCGAAAAGTGAAACCTCGGCAGAGATATTGCCCGAAATTGGGTCGCTTTCGTTCACCGCGGGCTGTCAGCAAGTCCGCGCATACCATTCGGAAGTTTACAGGGATACGATAGTTAGATAGATACGATAGATAGTACGATAGTCGGCATCTTTCTGGTTCAGCTGTGATAGGCTGGCGGGGATCGATGTTAGCTTCAGCCACGGGGCTTGAATAGTTGGAAGAACACCTGAGGCGGGGCAGGGGGGGGGGGATGGGTGCAGCAGGCGACCCGCACTCGCTTGCCGGTGGATCGGGGCAACAAACGGGGACCACAGCTGTGACATTCATACAGTCGGTGGCAGAGTCATCACCTGATATTCAGATACTGGTTCTCGACATTGTCAACACCGTTACCCCGATCCACGTTGCCTAGATATGTTAAGCATATCGTGGCGAGTTAAGGTAGGCATTACTTTACAACGTTACTACCTGTTCTGTTCTGTCAATCAAATAAGATGCTTTAAGAGCAATGTTCCAAATCGCTGTTTTGATAATTTTTCGTTGTGTTCACGCCAGCCTTTTGTCTCCAGTCACTCCCTAATTGTACCAATGTCACGACATATTCGGTAACTATGAATCGATTGGACATTTCTTTTGCTAGTGATCGACATAAGCCTGCAGCCACCCCCCCCCCCCCTCCCCTCCAAAAACCAATCCCAGGATCCCATAGCACGAAAATCCACGAGATTCTAGATCTGCCCTTAGGATCAGGCACATGTGAATTATTTCGACACATCGAAACCAGTTCCCAGACGAATTCCACTGAGTTAAACGGGAATCACGTGCATTGTGCGAGATGTTTTTTGTCTCCGTAGCAGTATTCCTCGCATACTAGGAGTGCTGCCTCGGTGTAGGGGTACTGTGCCCCTCCAATGAACTTTTGTTGCCTGGGAGGCTTGATTTTACTCAATCCAGGAATTTTCTGGGCCATGATGTGTCTGGTAATGGTGTTTCAAGACCAAAGGGCCTCACTCCAGCCCTGAACACTCCTTTAACAACTCGTTATTATGAGTTTGGAGCTCTTTTTTTGGTACTAGCTGATCTTCAATACACCAGAGGGCGATAGCCAGACGGTATCAATTTATCAAACAAAATTTCGCTTGACCGACAAACTCAACGGAAACTAAAAGCCGATGATGTCACAGTAAGAAATTGAAGACCAGTCATGCCCTCAAACCAAACGCTGAAGCTCTCTCACGCTTTCCTCTTGAACAACTCCTTCAACCTCAAGTGGCATTTTATGCGACGCAGAAGAGCATGGAGCACGTGGCGGCCCCTGACGGGCTGGATCTTCAAATCCTCAAGTCCTCGTAAATCTGCACACTGGACTTCCAGATTTGTGCATGTAGCGACGCCTGCAGGCAGCTGTTTGATCAAATGCCCCAGCCGGTCCCACAACTGCACAGCCAACTGAGAACAGCAAGTCATCACGACCATGCGCTGTTGGACAGGCACGTTTTTTTTGCCACCTCAATCAGGCCCACAGATGTCGCGTGAAGGACTGCGCCGGTCGACGATACAAACACCAACGAGTAGATTCGTAGCACGTGTGTGCGATCAACCGTGCATTGCACAAACGGATGCCTTTATCGCATAGTATCTCTCACACATGCGCGCCAGCCCAAGTCGTTGACAGGATCCAATGCCCTGCACACTGGTTGGGGTGACGGAGGATCGTCGCGTAGGATTACGCTCTGATTACGCACCAAGGATTACACACCAAGGATTACGCACCAGGAGGTGAGATCAGTTTTTGTTGAAAGTCAGCGTGGCAGTAACTGCGTCAACATGACAACGTTGACTGTCGGGGTACGAGCTCATTCGGGCCCGGCCAAGCACGCGCTAAGCAACCGAACTGGACAACGTTGGCTCACTGCAGTCGTCGCTCGCTGGAAGCACCTCCACGTACAGAGTGAGGGTATTCGAGCCATGTGGTAATGAGTGGCAGCCCGTAACTTGACACATCCTTGCCCATGTCGGGAGAAAGCGGCTGTCGATCCATATTCGGTGTCCTAGAATTGCCTGCTTTGGGTGTAAGGCAACACCTTATGAGGAGGAATTTTTCACTCCTGTTCCCCATATTTTATGTGAATTTTTCACTCTTGCCTGACATTGTCTAATCGCACATGCCAAACCCCTATTCCCCTTTCTGAGGTTTTCAGATGTCATCCAAAACCGAGCTCACTTGAAACCACCAAGCATAAACGAAGTTCCACAGAACCTGGACACCTATGGCTATGTCCTGCCGCCTCACCTACATCTGAATCAGGCCTATGTATGCAGGGGCGCCAGGTACCTCAGCAAGGGCGCCGGGTACCTCCAAGCTCAAGAACCCCAGCGACGCCAGCCGCTTGCACGCATCAAGTTTGGTTTGGCTTGCACGCATGACTGTCTGCCAGCAGACCATGCAAAAGGTACTGACTTTTTGGTTTTTGGGGAGCAGGAAAAAAAACAGAAAGTCTCCTTTGGACCAAGTAACTGCTTACCTTACCTGCTTCCAACACATGATTGGTAGCCAGAGTTAGCCATTTTCTGTTTTAATCCGTCGATTTTTGTCATATGACAAATTGTGATGCCACAAGTCATGCAATGGGTTTTCTTTTGTTCCATATTCTTGATTATTTGCCTCCAATTTCTTGAAGTGGTCCCTTATGGCTGCTTCAACCTGATGTTTTCTGTAGCTGTCATGGTTTGCTGACTGGCAAATGACTGTACTGTATATATGCACCATATTTTTAACACAAGGATACTCTAAGTTGCATAGAACTTAAAATCTGAGTTACATATTAGTATGTAACAAATAGTCAGAACATCCCATTAAAATGTGAAGCCAGCATCTCACACTCTGTCATCAAATATGAATAAACAAGCCTAAATAAATGCCTTTGCTGCAGCTGAAAAGGCAAGCAACAATACTGGCATGGTCATGTAAAAGTTATGTTACTTTTGGAGAAGAGAGATTGTTTTGTGGAGTATACCCATTATTACTCTTGACATAGGTTAACCAAGGTAATCAAAATAAGTTGTTCAAAGTGATTTAAAGTACTTTGATATGTGTGTTGTCAACTTTGATGTCAACAAGCATACACAAATGAACAACAAAAATGTAAGTTGAAAGCAGTAAAAAATCAGCTCTTTCATGCTTTCATCACAAGCGGTGCTGTCAACAGATAGGTGAGTTGAGATGATGTTCAACATATGGGCTACTCTAAGTTAGGCTAAGTTGGTTAAGTGCATGGCAAGTGACAATAGTAATTATGCAAGAATCAGTAATTCACAACTGCTGCTATAGTGCAAATAGGGCAGACAGGATTATATGAAGCAAGGCCTCTTTAGGTTAGGCATAGTAAGGCTACTTTCATGGAAATAAACATTTTTTTTGTAAGAAACAATGACAAAATGTTTGTTTACTCTGACTCTATCTTAACAGGAGCCAGAGGTATGTCTATTGTGTTTGACTTGGTGATTGGCTGATATGTAGAGGTCCAAGATTTTTTGTTGTTTGGGTGTTTTATACTTGTTGAATATTCTGTCGTTATTTTGTTATTGAATTTCTTTGCTTTTTTGTGTTAAAAGCGCTGTGGAAGGGAAGTGCAAAGTGCAGCCTCAAATTATTGGTGTTAATAATGTGTTATGCTCATCACACTGTCATGAACTTGCTATGCTCTAAAGTATTCTGGATCATTTTAATGGC